GTCTTTTTATCGTGGGTGCGAAATCCCGCATGATCGCATTTCACAACGACGATAAGAAGGTACGGGGTTAGTTTCCCTTTTCATTATCTTTTGTGTCACTGTTCCCCTCTGATCGCGAAATCGTTGGGATTAATGGTTAGGCCAAAAATAATGATAACGCTAAATAAAAAATATAAATAAATAAAATAATATTTAAAAAATAACCAAAAAAATCTTTACATAATGATTGGTTTCGACTTTGCCATCCCAACTTTACAGTCTGCGGGAAAACTGTTCTTGCCCAAGATGCACAGCGGCACACTTCCGGTATTATGAAGTGGGAAGTTTAAAACAAAACGTATTTCGGCAGATAGTTACTTTTTCCCTCAAAATCAGCATTAATATTCGCAGAGTAGATTGAAGACATCATTTCGGCTATTTAGGAGCAATCAGGGTAGTTCTCTATAATGCAGAATGATACACAAGTTTTGGAAATTGGTTGGAAAGCAACGAAAGTCACCAACGTTGCTCCAGACTCCAAGTCCAACCAGCTGACCGTGGTTCCAACACGACTGATTCTGCCTCATATCATATATGATACGAGTACGATGCGGTATGACTGTTCAACATATATAAAGTCAGTTTCGCTGTAGCTTGCTTTTTATCGTCGGTAATGTATATCGTCAGTTGTGTGGTGATCGTTTCCATCAAATTTGGAGATACGTGAGTCAATGGGGAAATCTAAATCGCAGTCGACCAACGAGGACTCGTTGTTTGAACCATGGAACTACTGGTTGTATAAACCAAATAAATGGTTTATAGTTCCATGTTTGAGCCATGGACTAGTACGTCCATGCATGGAGGTAAAAAGAGACTTTTTATCTCCATGGTCCATGTTTGAACTTAGCAAAAAAAGTTTCGACGTTCGAGAACTTTTAGACTTTCCAGGGGAACTTACATAGCTGTAGGTCACCAACTTGATATGCACATACTTGATAACTTTTAGTCGACACAGCTGAGCTGTTCATATTACTTATTGTCCGTCGTCGTCAACTTTGAAATTTCAACTTCTTCTTCGAAACCGCAAGTCAGAATGTTTTAAAATTTGATATGCAAGTACCTTGGATGGTTCTCTCTCAGATTTGTTCATTTCATGCCAAAATCTAAAATTTTGTATTTTTGATGAATATTTTTGTGATTTTTGGTTAAAATTGATAATTTTGACTTCTTCTTTGAAACCGTAATTCTGAATGTTTTCTAATTTGGTATATATGCGCTTTGGGTGGATCTCTCACGGATTTGTTCATTTTGTGATGATATCTTTAATTCTCTAATTTTGGTGAATATTTTTGTAATTTTTGGTAAAAAGTTATATTTTCAACTTCTTGTTAAAAAGCGCATGTCCAATTGCTTTGATATTACATATATAGGTATTACATGTGGACCTCTCTCAGATTTGTTCATTTCGTGGTAATATCTTCAATTCTGTAATTTTAGTGAATATTTTTGTAAGTTTTAGTAAAAAGTGATATTTTCGACTTCTTTAAAAAAAATTCCTTTGATATTATACATATATAGGTACTATATGTGGACCTCTCTTAGATTTGTTCATTTTGTAATGATATCTTTAATTCTCTAATTTTGGTAAATATTTTTGTAGTTTTTGATGAAAATTTTGACTTCTCATTAAAAAAACCACAAGTCTGATTGCTTATAGGTACTACTACATGTGGACCTCTCTCAGATTTGTTCATTTTGTGATGATATCTTCAATTATCTAATTTTGATGAATATTTTTGGTGAAAAGTGATATTTTCGAATTCGAAGTCCGATTGCTTTGATACTATACATATTGTTCATTTTCTAATGATATCTTCAGTATTTTAATTGAAATGTGCATTGCTAACAGCGGAGCTATCTCAGCCGATAGGCTGCTTGTTGTTGATGCTCCTCAAATTAACAATTTTTGAATGTAATTTTGGATTTGTGTTTTTTGTTTATTAATGTATTGTAACCGATTTAATCTTTCTGGGAAATCAACGTAAACTGCTCCACATATATCTGTCTGTTGTATCTGTCTGTCTATATGTATATCTTTTTATTTGACGGCATTTGTGTGGGGTACCTCAACTTCAAGGAGGATATTCATATGCTCTCGTGAAAATGCACTTTGAGATCAATGGGTTTTTGGAATATTAAATTTAGATAAGATATTGGAAAGTTTACATTTGTAGTTAGGTGCATGTATATAAAGTTGGCCAGCTCTTTTGCATATGTCTGATCATACAAAACCAAATTCCTTAAGATTAAACCTCAGTCTTGTGATGGAGGAACTCTGGAGAAACTCTGCATTTTGAGACCACTTTCCAGCATACATATCATATGTTGACATTCACAGAGCATTAAAGTTATATTTGTTGTCACATTTGCGTTCAATTTGTTCCACCTTGTCTGAAACTACAACGTCTGATTTACAATAGTGATAACAGAGTTTTACATGAAGCAATATATTGCGTCATTGACGGATAATTATGACTGTATGACCCTCATGAAAATCAGCATTGCGTCCTGCGTGACGCAGGAATTTTGGCGTCAAGTAGTGAGTAATTCACCCCTCCATTTGATCGGCAGTAGTTGCTAAATGGGCTCTTGTAACACTAGAACCTCTCTCGATTTCAAATGGAACGCTCCAAATCATCATTCGTTTGTGCGTCGCCATTTACACCAATCACAAAAAATGTACTACGTAGACGCTTTGTGTTTATAGCCCGTCTGATAGTTCTCCCGTTGAAGCTTCACCAGCTACGTCCAGTGAAAACCCCCATGTTTTACTAAAGAAGAATCGTTCTTTCAACAATGGGTGGCTAAATCGTTTTAAATGGCTTCGTTACATATCAGACCGAAACGTTATGGAATGTGAAGTTTGTGTGAGAGCGAAAGCCAAAAACCTTTTCACTGACGGGTGTTCAAATTTTTGAAACTCAACTCCGGCATCAAGACTCTAGAAGTCACATCAGTGTCCGTGTGTTGACCATGAAGTCAGACTTTACAGCCGCTCGTCGGATAGCAAACGAGAGGAAATATCAAGGTACAAGTGACAATCTGAAATCATACGCAGCTCAGCTGCGAACTGTTTATGTTATGGCTAAACGGGATCTACCTTGCGATGTTTTTACCGATTTCATGCATGTTCAGAATTTGTTGTATGAATAAAGACCTCGATAAAACTTAGTAAATTAGATGTGTTTCTTTTCATACTGGTACTCCTCCATTGAACTCAAATCATCTCATTAACTCTCCATTGTATTGTTTTCCCTATTTAACAGATATCAATTTCTTGATTTGTGTATGACCCTCAAATTTGCAATTATGACCCCCAAATTTGCAGACAAGAGGTCCCAATGACCCCCACATCTAAAAAATGATGTAAAACCCTGTGATATACATGTTATGTACAGTTATGTAGCTAATGCAATTCAGCTTTTCAGGTTATGTACAGTCAAGTAGTGATTATAAATGTAAATACAACAAAAATAATTAACCCTCTGCATATTAATATAATCATCTGCATAAAGACAAAGAGACATGTGAATGTTAAGTAACTAACATGCAGTCAGAACAATTACTCACATGCCCAAAAGTGGTATAAATATCACATTTGCTCTATTAGAAGTGCATCTCCAATAAAACCATGCAGAAACCAAAAATTAAATTTGCTTAAAATACATATTTTTTTTACCATAGACTCGCGTCTGTCATTTACATAAACACATGTGCTACTAACAGATCAAAAACTAGAGGTTATCTCATGACTTATTCAACATCCGATATTGTCTTGCGATGATTTGATGAGATTATTTTTTTCTAAACGTTTTTATCATTATACATCTGTCACCGTAACGCCATAAATTACAGTGTGCCGTAATTTTGCAGTATTTCACGGGTATTTTCAACCTACCATATAAGGAAATGCGAATTCCAAATATGGAATGATTACATACATACATGTAAGCGTCTTTTACTAGTAATAATAAAAACAAACATAGCTGCCATTGGGGTTTGACCGGACTCCACACAAAAAAGTTTGCTGATTCTGTTCTCAACTTTTTGGATTTCGGCATTCCCATGATGTATCCTTGTAAGGGAAAAATGTATAATAATAAGGTTATTACGAGGATACCTCAAAGTATGCACTCAGACAGTACACTGTCGCATCAACCTCTGCTGCGCGTCGGTCGATACTCTGTAATGTCTTCGTGTATACTTTGAGTTATCCTCGTAATAACCTCATATTCACTACAGTGTTATCAGGTCATGATAAATCATGGACCAATGTATTCATCAACATACAGTGCCAAAGAAAAAATAATATTACATCTTTAAACAATAGTATATTCCTACTGAAGAAAAAATATGACAAATGAGAAAACAGAATTACAATTTTGAAGATCACAGAAATGTATTCATTTAATGAAAAGTAGTGACAGAAAGAAAAATTAAAGAGACAATAGCTGTAACTATTAATCTTTTTTCTCCATTTTTTATTTTAATAAAACATTTCCTGTGTCATTATTGACAATTTGTAACGACCATTGCCGAAGTGTAAATACTGTGAAATCATTTATATTCACTGACATTTAATTTCACTATCTTGATGTTTTGAGCATATTGACTGTGTTTTAATTTCATGAATTTGTCAAGGAGACAATATGTTTTATTGTTATTTTACATGTTCCTGTGGATTCAATTTAGCGGATTTTACTTACCAGTGAAAATAGCAAAATTAAAACCCAGTGAATAATTAATGGTTTTACAGTATGCTACACTCAGCATATACCCATTTTGTACAATAAGTCACTTGCAAAAAAGAAACTTGTGAAAAAAAAAAGACGCGTACATGGTCAACCTCAAGACAATTACAAATCATCTTCTACAATGCTATTGGGTATAAACAATTTTAATACGTCGGCATTGCATGTGTACAATCATCCATCATATACTTTGTTTTTCTCATATCACAGAAATTTAAAGATATTATCACACTGGGAAACGATATAAATTGGAAGTGTCCAGATGGTAAGTATCTGAATATCATATCATTGCTCATCTTGAAAATTGTTCTATTGCTAGAGAGAGAATTAGATAAAGATTTGGGAGTCAAGAGACATCACAGTAATATCATGACAGTAAAAATTTCAATTGGTTAGAATAACTATAGGCAAAAACTTTTGTGGAGCTAAATTATTATTATGTGCTATCAACTAACAGCATGGGCTGACTCAATGTATGATATAGCCAGTGTATCTGAATGCAACAGAGATAATGTGCCAGTTGATATTTAAGTTTCTATTGATATAGCCTGAATACTGTAAAACCATTTATTAGCCCCCTCCCGGACAAAGCCATTTTTAATGCCAAAATTTAGTCAAATTTGGTTCTTGTGTGTCCATCGTCATTTCTCGGAGATGGCTTGACCGATTTTATTGAGACTTGTTACACAGACAAAGGGACCACCCATACAGATGCCTGTTGTTTTACTTTTTTGAAATGATCAAATATGGCCGACTGGCAGCCATTTTGATTGTTAATCATGGCTCAGAGATGCCTTGACTGATATCAATGATACTAGGTATAAAGACACAGTCAGGAGGTATACATATTCGTATAAATTTTTTTCCTGATTTGATCAAATATGGCTGCCTGGCGGCCATTTTGAATTTCAATTCCTGTAAAATCCAGTTTTTTGGGTGTGTCAGTCATTATTTCTCGGAAATGCTTAGGCCGATTTTGCTGAGACTTGGTGCAGACAGAGTGACTACTGGTACAGATGCACATTGATTTATTTTGTCAAGGAATCAATTAATGAGCTTATTTGCATATTTAATTATCGATTTGAATTCTTGTGAACTAATAGTCCAAATCATACCAAACTTGGTAGAGAATTGATTTGTCAACATAAGATATATGCTATGCAATATTAAGTTTCAATTTAATTAACAAGCTCATTTGCATATTTAATGAATTTTTGTTAATATCTTGTGAACTTAATAGTTCATGTATTTGCTATTTAATATTGACTCAATTGAATTTCCATGTTCAATTAATTGTGAATTTTTGTTAAAATTGATGTAAAAAAAAAACACAGCAGAATTAAATCTAGCTTAGAACTAAGTGAAGCAATCAAATATTTTGCATAGTTCTTCCGACTCCTTCACCCAGAATTTGACCAATTAAAATCATTAAAGATTGTCTGCCATTTATTGTGCATCATGTTGGTATGTACAACTTTCCAGCATAATATAATGTACATTTTTTCACCAGACTGGGAACTAAGAGGCAGTACATGTTATATAGCATTTGATTTTGAAACAACTTGGCATGATGCCTCTGAAGTATGTGAATCGTAAGTTTCTCTTTTTTATTGTTTTATTATTTTAGTCATTGTATATAATAATAGATACATCATAATGTTATGATATATGAGAGATATATTCAAAATTCTAACATTGAATTGTATGAAAAATACTTTAAAAACAAAAGAATTTTTAATATGGCCAAATGGGGGCACTATAATGTAATATAATTTTATTATACTCTTTATGTCAAGACCACAAGGAACCTCATTGTGGTGATTTTCAATTATTAAGACTGTATTTAGGAGACTTTATGGTACTTTGATGACTGAGTTAAGGTGGCTAACGTTAAATGTTGAATGCTTTGTTTTTGCAGGCAAGGTGGAATGTTGGTGACAGTAGAAGGGTTTATACAAAATGAAGTTATCAGTGGAGTGGTATCTGGATATTTATATGAGATACTACCAGATATTACAACACAGTTCTGGTGTGGTAAGTCAATGATCTTGAAAAACAAAGTAATAATATGAGGTATCTTGAAGAAACAATATTGAAGTAAAGAAAACAAATAACTATAGAGATAATGCTACAGTGCAAACCTGTCATATCATGCAAGGTTGCTATGAGAAGATAAAAAAATATGGAAAGACTTTCCAATGTACCCCACCCCTTACCCTAACTCTAACCCCCCCTCCAGCCCCCCAAATTCAGTTGTAGATGCACCTCTAGATAACCATATGTGTCCTCAAAATGGGCATATACAATTAATTTGAGGGGGAAATAAAGGGTAGGGATGGGGTTAGTTAGGATTAAAGGTGGGGTACATTGACAAATCTTTCCTAAAATACATATGCAAAATCTTGGCAGGAAATATTAAAGAGTTACATTACATTGCATGTTTGTTTGTTTGTTGTTTCTAATCACCACAGGATTCCATGGCTATGTTGACTCTTATTACTGGGCTGATGGTGGTATAACCACAATAATGGAAGGCAATTGGGACTGGAATAGTGTTAATCTAGTGATACCTAATAATGCTGTTGATGAATTAGAGGAGACATGTGCTAGCATCAATTGGAATAACACGCTACATCAATGGGTTCAAAGCGATTGTTCCAATGCATTCTCATTTGCATGTCAAATGCCAGCTTGTCTAGAAGGTAAATCGTCATCAGTTAAACCCATCATAAAATGTTTGACATATCTAGTGAGATACAAAATGCATCTTTCTTGATAATTCTACATAAACCATATTTGATCTATTTATAGCATATATAATGTATGCTTACATAAATTACAACAATTTTTCCATGAACAAAATAAGTAGTGTAATAATTTAGTGTACAGCCAACTCGTGTTGAAGATGTACTTCTAATTATTTACAATGACTAGGTTAATGCATTTAAAAATATATACACCTATGCTATAATATGAGACAAAAAGTATTGATTGCATACGTGATATCATCATTTAAGGAGGTTTGTGCTGAATTCAAGATTATATGTCATTTTCGTCATGCTTTCATTATTATGAATTCATATTCCATCAGGATACCAAAAATGAACATACAAAATTGAGGTCACAGGATGATTTTTGAGATACAAGAGTCTGAAATATCATGAAAAATGGTTAATATTGACATTTTACACTGCTTTCTATGGTGGGATTATTTATTCATATCTCAAAATTTTGCTCGGAAACATGGGATACATAAGCTGTTTATTTTATTGATATAAAATCTAACATAGTGAAGTCAATTTTTAAAAAAAATGACATACATGTATAATTTAGTGAGTTTTGAGGGTGATGGGAGATTATCTCCCATAATCCATTGCATCCATATGCAGTAACATGCTCATGCAGCACACAATTTTGAATATTAATGACTCATTAATATTCATAACCGTTCAGCACTTGCTTTGAGATTTCTACATCATGTTTTCAGTTTATTACTACTAAATGCTTGATTATTATATTTAGATGACTTCCACTGTAATAATGGACTTTGCATTCAGGGATCACAGCACTGTGATGGATATGATGACTGTGGGGATATGTCAGATGAACTGGGATGCCCAGGTAAGTACCAACAGGCTGCTTGATTCGAAATTATATTCTCTTCTAAGCTAACCATGTGATACACAGAACACCTTGCTATATTTACACATAAAAGGGTAAAGAGCAGTTGAGATTTTCCTACAAATTGGCTACTTTAAGGGTTTAATAAATAACCTATTGATAAACAATCAGCAAACAAATTTGAAGCAGTGGACTGAGAATCGTATTTTTACAACCACCCAAACTGACCCAATTGAATCATTCTTTGCAGAACAGCAACATAATTAGGTTCAACGTAATGTCAGACATCCTAATATTGGAACCATAACGAAACTATATCTTTATACCAAACTGAAAATATTAAACTTGACAGAAAATGCAATTCGTCCTGTAGAGACCTCAGCAAAAATTAAACACTGAAAAACAGCAGTATTAGAGAGAATGTTTTAAAAGAAAATGAGCACAAACATCATCCTATTCAGGCAATGACTGAATATTTTCAGTTAGATATTGATCATTTAATTCACCACTCGTATGTTTTCTTTTCTTGACCATATTTGAAAAATACAGAACACTGCAATCTGCTCAATCTCACTTGTACAAGTACCTTAATGTACAACTTGCCTTGAGGAGCAATAATATTAATCTGTAATACCTTGTTTTTCACTTGATATTTATATCTTTTCGTTATTTCTACTGAAAATGTAAATCAGCGAAAATAAAATGCAGTAAAAATATGTTTTCTTCCTATAGTTGTCATAACAACTCAATGAATATAAATTATGGTGTGAACCTAAAGTGCGGTTTTCAAAGTAAATAAACCAATTCTAATTGTATGTGTGTGATGAATGTGGCATCTGTGTTTTAGAGATGGAATGTCATTAAAGACAAAGCTTTCATAGTTGAACTATGTTTTCATAATGGTTTCCTAATAGGTGTGTGTGGTGGCATACTTGAAGGACTGTCAGGGAGCATTGAGAGTCCTAATTATCCAAATAATTATCCAAATAATGTTGAATGTACATGGAAAATTATTGGACCAGTAGGAACCAAAATGACACTACATGTAAGTATTCTCATTTTTAGCTTGCCTGTCGACAAAGTTGACACAGCGGAGCTGTTCATGTTACTGATTGTCCGTCGTCGTCAGGATCAACTTTACAATTTCAACTTCTTCTTCGAAACCGCAGGTCAGAATGTTTTCAAATTTGATATGCAAGTACCTTGGATGGTTCTGTCTCAGATTTGTTCATTTCATGTCAAAATCTCAAATTTTCTATTTTTGGTGAATATTTTTGGTGAAAAGTGATATTTTTGACTTCTTGTTGAAAACCGCAAGTCCGATTGCTTTTATATTACATATATAGGTACTACATGTGGACCACTTTCAGATTTGTTCATTTTGTAATGATGTCTTTAATTCTCTAATTTTGGTGAATATTTCTGTCATTTTTGATAAAAAGTGATATTTTCAACTTCTTGTTAAAAACCACAAGTCCAATTGCTATGATATTACATATATAGGTACTACATGTGGACCACTTACAGATTTGTTCACTTCATGATGATATTTTCAATTCTCTAATTTTGCTTAATATTTTTGTCAGTTTAGGTAAAAGTGATATTTTCAACTTCTTGTTGAAAACCACAAGTTCGATTGTTTTTATACTATATATATAGGTACTACATGTGGTCCTCTTTCAGATTTGTTAATTTCGTGGTGATATCTTCAATTATCTAATTTTGATGATTATTTTTGTCATTTTTGGTGAAAACCGATATTTTTGACTTCTTGTTGAAAACCGCAAGTTCGATTGCTTTGATATCACATTTATAGGTACTACATGTGGACCTCTCTCAGATTTGTTCATTTTGTAATGATATCTTTAATTCTCTAACAGCGGAGCTATCTCAGCCGACTTGCTGCTTGTTTTTGTATTAAATTATTTATCTTGCTTTACTGTGATGCATTACAGAATTAGAACAAGTCTAGAGGAAAGTCAAAGCTTATTGGTCACTAATATAAGTGTTATTCCAGGAAGCTCATTATCAGTAATTTTATGCCTTGGTGGGCATGCTTCTGACTCAAATGTACCAGACCTGGTTGACCTTTGAATATCACATTATATAAATCTTTATGTTGCAAAATGTTGAATGCGAATGATTGATTCTTTCTAGGCAGTCACTGTGCACACAAAAAACATAAAGAAGTGCAAACGACCTAAGTACATGTTAAGTTTTTTGGGACTGAAAAGGGCAGACAAAAGGATGACTTTATTTTGGATTTCTAAATTAACAGTCATGAATTGTATGTGGGAGAGGTAGGGAGGGTGGCACTGAAAATCTAGTTCATCCTTGTCGCCTCCCTAAAAAATTACAATGTACCTATGGTATGGTCTGGGCCTGGAGATGTTGAGTCTGTTTGGCTCTTGTCAGACTAACATTTACATACAATCTATTTATCTACAAAGGTAACCTCTCTAGACTTAGAAGATGACAATGACTTCCTTAAACTATTTAAAGCAGTAAACCCAGTTGAAAAAAAGTTAAAAGTAAAGTATACTGGTTCAGAAAATAGATTTTCAAAGAAAACTATGCCAAGTCATGTAGCATCTGTGGTGTTTAAAAGTGATGGCAGTGTTACCAATTCAGGATTTGCTCTTGATTGGTATGCAGGTGAGATGACAATAAATTCTTTGTAGGTTTCTGGAACATTTGATTACTGTAAAACATGTCTTTTTCGCGAGCATGTCTTTTTAACAAATTTAGCGAGAGAAGTGATTCGATAATTCAAGATGTCACTAATGACTTTATTATAATTTCAAAATGGCCAAGACTTGGAGATTTGTATACAGTAATCAGGAACATAAAAATCTGGGGCGCTTCCTAATTACACTGTTTTTATGGAGACAAGTACAGTGAATTGTGAAAACAGGAAATCAACAATGACAATAGAGATACGCTAAATTTCGCTATTACTTCATTTTACCACAATTCGCTAAAATTGCATGTCGCTTTTTCAACATGTTTTACAGTATTCTGTTGTTTTAGTCACCAATATGTACCTGCCAATTAGGCGATTAATTTAATTAAACAATTCAATTACTTTGGATAAGTTATTACTTAGTTTAAATGGTAAATTCAAAGAGGGAATGAGAAATTCCTTGCTTAAGGTAGAAGCCTAGTCATAATTTTTGACAAAATTGGTCATAAATCGCATGACAATGTTCATTAGTTTATTATGTACAATCATGAAGCTAACGTCCCATGGTATAATGAAATAGCATTATTTTGTGTGTTACAGTTATGCTTTTTTAGAAACATGTCCCAATATTTCTTAAAAATTGCTATTTTTAGAACAATTCCATAGAACATAATGTTAAAGAAAAATTATTTCTTTGAAACTTTTTAAAACCCAGATTTTTTTAATAATTCAGAACAAAAAGGTACCGGTACTCCATCATTAACAATATATGATTTTTTCAGCCTATGTCACCAGGCTAGATTTTGAGTTATAGATATTACATAATATCTCTGCCATAGGAACCTGTGGTTAAAAGTGTTGTAATAGTGTCAAAATGGCGACTTTCCACTAAAATACAACCATCCACTTCTCGAAAAAAAGGCTGGTGACCCCCAACTTTTTTTAGGTCAATATCCTTATATTGCCCTGGAGTACAATATATTGCAAAATGAATAAATTCTGTTTTTTTAAAATTATGAGTAGGCTTCTACCATAAAGGAGAATTCATCAGCTACTGAAAGCCCCCATGAATAACCAAAATAATTATGGATAAAAATTGCATCAGCATGTGATGTATTGAGATAAAAATACGTCTATTGCTGTGCTGAATGCCTCTAGATAATTCGTTTTCTTAGCAGCAGAGAATTCCTGCAAGAAGTCAGAGTCTAAGACAGTAGCATGGAATTATGTAGATCTTATCAGCCCGGGACGAATATTTAATAGTAACTACCCAGAATCAGCAACTTGTATCTGGCATTACATGGGAATCAACGTGCGATGTGAGAAAGATGGTTCAGAAATGGATATATGCGATGACTGGAATAATGTATTGACATTACAGGTATGCTACCAGTATATTGATCACGTCTGTAAGCACGTCATGTTGTTTCGAAATTATGACGTTTATAATAAGCATTAAATTGTAATCTGATTCATTCAGGCAAACAAAAAGTGAACACTATCAACTGTCCGTGATGGTATAAATTCTTTTTATGCATGTATTTGTAAACAAAATTTAATGTACTAGTACTGTAAAATACTTTATTTTCTCTTGGAATTAATTTTTTGCTATTTTCGCTGATGGAATGGTTCAGTGAAACTAAAATCCAGCGAATATACATTTTTCTTATGTTTTACATTCAACTTGTCAAATATCAGTGAAAATAAACTCCATACAAAACACCCAAAAAGTATTTTCAGCGAAAATTAATTCTAGCTAAAAATAAAGTATTCTACTGTAAATGTATTTAATATAATGTAGTATGTAATCTTCATTTGTATGATGTTCTATAACAAGGGTATGTATGTGACATGCCAAGTCTGATCACCTTCAAAATCCAGTGATAAGATGCGTCAGATGACCATAGCGTGTCATTGTTTACAAATAAATGTCTACCCACGAGCCTTTGCATTTTTAGCGTGTGGTGTTATCGTTGCTTGGAACTCAATTCCCCCGTGTGCGCAGGTGACGACCCTCCCACTTTAAATTAACCCTTCCATTGTCAAAGCCAACTTTCATGACTAATCACGAAATAAAATGTTACATTTTTCAAATTTTTTTTTTAAATTTTGATCAAGTCAATTAGAAATTATTTTCATTTTGTCCAAAATGATAAAAAATACATTGATCATTTGACTGAATTTAGTATTGAATCCAACTTGTTTTTTTTGTTTTTTACAGTTTCTTGATTTTGAGACAGAGTATGATACAGACTTTGTAACAGTTTTTAATGTTGCAAGTACCACAAATAAAAAAAAACAATTGGCTGCTTTCTCTGGTTCTTCTCTACCACGACCAATCATAACTTCTGGACGACATATAAGTATCAAGCTGACCTCAAACGATGAAAATACATTTGCAGGATTTCATGCCATTGTGAAAAAAGGTAAAACATGCAATTATTATAATGAATGTAATTATTAATTATTCACTGGGTTTTAATTCTGCTTATTTCGCTGTTTAGAAAATGCGCTAAATTAAAACCTAAATCTAAATGATATCACAGCTCATCATGACAAGTTGTAACAATGTCTGTGGCTTTGCAGGTCTGATTGCATAGTGTTTAGTCAAAATGAATTCAAATTTATTAGTCCCTGTTTCGACGAAGTCCGAAAAACGGGGACTATTAATTTGGGTTCCGTTTGTCTGTGCGTCTGTGTGTCCGTCCAGAGCCATTTCTGTAACATGTCTGGAATTGGCGATATGACCTGATTCAGGTCAAAGTTGAATAGGACATTTTCAATCAAACTTTGTATGGTGACCTTACATATTAGGTTACGGTGCAAGCCATATTTCTTTTGGAGATACTTGAACAACAACACTGGCTGCGTTTTTCTTTCATGCTATTTCTTCTGTAAGATATATTCCAATTCATTTCAAAGTTTCCACATAGTTACTATACTGACAGTAACACAATCTATAATCTGTGTTAGTGTTAAAACAACATTGATCTTTCATTTCTACATGTCACTTGTATTGAACATTTACATCTACTACAGCTAATACTGAACAGGGGACATTGATAATGCTTGTTCAGATTAAAAAGACATATCTTTAAATATCTTTCCTTTTCTTTGACAGGTTGTGATAACATAATAATGAACCAGACTAGTGGTATCATCACTTCACCAGGATATGGTGTGTCCGCCTATCGAGACAAAGTACAATGCTCATGGAAAATAATCAACCCACAGGGATTACCAGTAATTTTAGAGTTTACTGAATTTGAAATTAAACCCAATGATTATATTTCAGTAAGTTTTTTTTCTATGAATGTATTTCACTTCTTCTGATGATGCGTCAACGAAGTCATTTCTAAAACTGTTTCACGAGGGAGTCATGTCTATAACTTACCCCTAGGAAATCATTGCTATAACTGTTTCCACTGGGGAGTCATTTCAGTATTAACTCGTGCCACTATGCAGTCATTTTTTATCTGTTTCCACTGGGGAGTCATTTCTGTAACTTTTTTCACTAGGGAGTCATTTCTATAACTTTTTTCACTAGGGAGTCATTTCTATAACTATTTCCGCTATGCAGTCATTTCGGTAACTCGTGCCACTATTCAGTCATTTTTTATCTATTTCCACTGAAGTCATTTCTATAACTTTTTCAATAGGGAGTCATTTCTAAAACTGTTTTCACTAGGGAGTCATTTCTATAACTTTTTCACTAGGGAGTCATTTCTATAACTGTTTTCACTAGGGAGTCATTTCTATAACTGTTTTCACTAGGGAGTCATTTCTATAACTTTTTTCACTAGGGAGTCATTTCTATAACTTTTTTCACTAGGGAGTCATTTCTATAACTTTTTTCACTAGGGAGTCATTTCTATAACTGTTTTCACTAGGGAGTCATTTCTATAACTGTTTTCACTAGGGAGTCATTTCTATAACTGTTTCCATTAGGGAGTCATTTCTATAACTATTTCCGCTATGGAGTCATTTCGGTAACTTGTACCACTATGGAGTCATTTTTTATCTGTTTCCACTGGGGAGTCATTTCTATACTTGTTTCCATTAGGGAGTTATTTCTATAACTGTTTCCACTGGGGAGTCATTTCTATACTTGTTTCCATTAGGGAGTTATTTCTATAACTATTTCCGCTATGGAGTCATTTCGGTAACTTGTACCACTATGGAGTCATTTTTTATCTGTTTCCACTGGGGAGTCATTTCTATCATTGCTTTTGCTAGGGAGTCATTTCTATCATTGCTTTTGCTAGGGAGTTATTTCAATCTGTAGTTGTTAAGTTTTTAACTGTTTCCATTAGGAAGTCAACTTTTTATCTGTTTCCAATAGATCAGAATTATATCAGATTTCTCCATGACAAACCTTCAATCCAAACTTGTGATTGACAGTAAAGAAACATTAATTTTGTATTATAGATATTTGATGGACAAGACAGTAACAGTGCAGTTATTGTGAATCAACATAATGGAGAGAACACTGGGAAGGTACTACCTCCAATAGCAAGATCAGAAAATGGTGAACTCTTTGTGGTGTTTCACAGCGATAAATCAAAAAAAGCTAAAGGATTCCAAGCGCAGTTTACAAGTGGTGAGCACAAATAACAGATGCAGAACTCACATGTAGCAGATGTGCATTAGTTTGATGTAACTCAGGATAAAAAAAAAGTTTTACTTCTTGTCAACCTGCATCTCACGCATTTATTTTTCAATTTCTATTACTGCTGGTGTTCGCCATATATGGTCGAATTGGGACAATGTTTGTTTTCTGTTTCACTGAATGTTTTGTCGATTCAAATCAACATTTAATGCATGTATTTGGAATACATCATTTAATAAATATTAAATGTTGAAATCTTTATACAACAAAATTGAAACTATATTATATATATTTGGTCACAAAGCTTACTTTTTTATTGGTAAACTTATATATCATGTAATGATGGATATGTTTCTATTTATAGTTACAAATTACATTTATTAGCTGTTCATATTACTGATTGTCAGTCGTCGTCCGTCGTCGTCCGTTGTCAACTTTACAATTTCAACTTCTACTTCAAAACCGCAAGTCAAAATGTTTTCAAATTTGATATGCAAGTACCTTGGATGGTTCTTTCTCAGATTTGTTCATTTCATGTCAAAATCTCAAATTCTCTATTTTTGGTGAATATTTTTGTCATTTTTGAGAAAAAGTGATATTTTCGACTTCTTTTAAAAAACGGCAAGTCTGATTGCTTTGATATTACATATATAGGTACTACATGTGGACCTCTCTCAGATTTGTTCATTTTGTGATGAATATTTCTTCTTTGAAACCTAGCAAGATAGCTCCTGTATTTACCAGTACCACTCCTCACATACATGAATTTGTCAATATATTTGGTTTAAAAAAAATATACAAATGCCATCACAGTGTTCCATGTTACTTTGTGCAAAATGGTTACATTTAATTTTTTTCAATAAATTAAAAAAATACTATGATTGTAACTTTTTTCAGAGTGCCCACCTTTAGAAATATCCGAAGGAATGCTCCTGAGTACACATAACAGAACTGTAGGTGAAGTATCATTCAGCTGTACAAATGGATATCATCTTACTACTTCTACATATTCTATGATAACTTGTGATTTGGGAGGTGTATGGAATTACGGTGGACATGATGGACCTCCAGAATGTAGTCGTAAGTCTGTATTTCATTATACTTTTATTTATGTGTGTAGTACTTGTCTTGGTAAGGATGTTACAAATAATTCAGTGCTCCTGTTACACAGTCAAGAAAGGGGCTTATTCCATGCTTTTAGTATGCTCAAGGGCAATCCACTAATATGTTTAGTCAATAATTATTACAGCAAGTCTCAGAAGTATTGGGGCAGCCAATTTGCAAACTCGCTAGCAAATTGGCTAACTGCTTGGGTTTTGACTAAACAGTTGGCTTTCGAATCTTGTTGGCGCCAACTCGTGGCGTGTCCACTCTGGGCAAGTCTAAGTTGCATTAGGGAACATAGAATGCTTTTACGTAGCCTGGTAGGTACATGTCTAGATTCCCCTGAATCATTTACTTTGTTACGAGGCGTGATAATGTAAAAGTAGTTTCCCTGGTAAGCCTGAAAATAGCCATAGTCAGCTGGCGTAAAGCGATAATATGATAAATGTGATTAATCCGCCGGTATTTACTATATGGGGGTAGCCATCTTGAACATTGCTTGAAACTAAATAAAGAGACACATTGATAAACAGTTTCCTCCAAATCAGGAAGAAAATGACAAACTTTCACATCTAAATGATCCATTGGGGTAACATTAACCAACCGCTAAAAAAATCGACCTCATTACACATAGAACA